CCAACAATGCGAACATCCTGATTGCAAATGCGGGGGGGCTGCGCCCCCCCCAACCCCGCCGCCATTTTAAGCCGTCTGCAACAGCCTGCCTAACAGCATAGGAGTCGTTTTGGAAACCCACCATGCAGAATATGAGTCTGTTTGAGACAACGCCATTCATCATGCGAAAAGTGTGCTTGCAAAGGGAACGGCTGTGCCGGGCATGCGAGAGTGGCAAGCTTGCTCGACAGTATACTACTACTACTACTACTACTACTACTACTACGACTACTACTACTACTACTACTACTAGTACTCCTCCTACTGCTACTACTACTACTACTACTACTACTACGACTACTACTACTACTACTACCACTACTACTACTACTACCACTACTACTACTACTACTACTCTTTCTGCAAATATTTTTTTGATGCTTAGCAAATTTTTTTTGATGGCCGCAGGGTCAATTTTTTTTTGATGTCTATCAATTTTTTTTTTGATGCTTCACCCGGGGTCGTCGGGGGAATCGCAACTTCTGCTGGGGATCTTCGGAGCTTTCAGGTTGCATGGCTCCGATTCTTTGAAGATTTACGCAGGCTTTAAAGGTTTAGGGTTTAGGGTTTAGGGTTTGGGTTTTAGGCTTGCAACAAGGCAGGCCCAAAAAGCCATAAGCCTCTCTTGAACCCCACTGCCTGAACCCTTTTACCCTGACCAGCTGCAGACTGTTTATGGCCGGCTGAGCCTCCTAACTCCTTTGTACCCGGCAGGAGATTAGATGTACAGGGGTTAGGGTTTAGGGTTTAGGGGTAAGTATAGTCTCCATTGTAGTTCCTTTTTTGGTTTAACCAAAAAGAATATATATATATATATATATATATTAACGAGTTTATAAGGTATCCCCAAAAAAGAAAGGAACTACAATGGAGACTATGGGTAGTGTTCTAGGGTTGAGGGTTAAGGGCCGGGAGAAACGGTGCGAGGTTATTTTCAAGATTGCAGTTATGCGGCTTGTGGGGTTTTTGGGGTTTGGGGCAATCCTAAATCCTGGCACACTGCCAGTTCTGAGCGCATAGTCTTGGACTACATTCGAAACGATTCGAAGTGCGAACGCTCTGACATGGTTCCGGAGATCTAACGATAACGCGGCAGGGTGAGAACTGCAGCAGGAAGAGCAACAACGTGCGAACTGAGAATAGCAACAAGCCCATAGAACAAGATCACCAACACGAAGTGGGGCAACAACAGTTCCAACACTCCCTAAACATCCTAGGCCGTAGAAAGCTTAAAGGATCCCTGTGTATGCAGTGTTGAGGTTAGGGGCTTCGCGCCTAGGAACCAAAACCCTAAACCCTAGCGAGCCTTAGACGTTGAAGCCGCAACTGTATGCTTAATTGCATAAAATTATCAAATGTTATACCAGTAAATAATGATATTAAAAAAAAATACCAATTAATACAAATATTAAGCATTCGGCCCTAAATCGCAGACTGCAAACTTGAAGCTTTCAGGACGATGGCGGCCTGCGTGCGCTTGATGTGCATGTACAGGTGCCAACTCCTGCGCAGCACGTTGGAGCTGGGGCTGTTTCGGTTGGAGTTTTGGAGCTGCGTGTTTGGTTTAGATTTCAAGGCGAGTCTCAGCCGGACGTCGAGATGAATGACTGCACATGGGCCTTATTCAGTCTGTTCACTGGCTCGCTTAGACAAGATCTAAGCGTTTCCAACCTCATGTATTCATGTACATGTCTACATGCCAGCTCAAGATAAGTGCTAGATTGGAGGGAGCATTTCCGAATTCCATAGAATCCCGCAGAAGTATACCCCCAACCCCTGCCATGATGATTATTCTTATTAGTCTTAACAACACTAACAATAACATCGCTAAAAACTGTTGTAATACGAATATTTCATATTAACAATCTTAATAACAGTAATAATAACCATTATGTTATCATCATTACTGCGAACGCCCCTACGTTAAACCTTCCTCGCAGTACGTATCGTCAAGTCCCAAAACCTAGGGATGCATGCAGCAGGCCGGCAACCAGCGTTTTGTCTCTCATACTAGGGTTTTCGTGTTTCGAGGTTTTAGGGTTTAGGGCTTTTCGGGCTTTAGATTTGAGGGGTTTGGGGGTTTTAGGGTGTGTTGGGGATTATGGGTGTTGGGGGTTTTAGGGTTTAGGGGTGTTGGGGTTTTAGGGTTTAGGGGCGTTGGGAGTTTGAGGGGTTTGGGGGTTTGAGGGTTTAGGGGGCGTTGGGTTAGGGTTCGGGGGTTTTAGGGTTTAGGGGTTTGGGGTTTTTAGGGTTTAGGGGTTTTAGGGTTTGGGGGCTTCAGGGCTTTTTTTGTTTAGGGTTTTTGGGTTCTTGGGCTTTAGGGCTGTAGGGTTTTCGGGTTTAGGCTTTGGGTAGCTGAATTCCGACCCCAGCCTCCAGCACCCAGTTAGTCGCAGCCGAAGCTTTGCAGGAAAGCGCGGAGAGCGCAGGAGCCTGCTCTGATTTGCATAGAACCCCAGCCGGATACAGGTGTCCCATAGTGGTTGTAATAATTACCTGTTTAGGGTTTAGGAGTTTAGGGTTTAGGGTTTCTATTTTGGGGGTTCCTTATTATGACTAGAGTGTAATAAGTATCTCCCGTAATGGTATTCCCCTTGTTTTGGGCCTCCATCATTCAGCCATAGTGCAGTGTATCCCAAACCGTGTTCTGCTCGTTGAGGCCCCTAGAATTAGGCTTGGATATCCGGGAGTCCGGGACTTAGAACCGGTTTGCCGTTGGTTCCATATACATACATACCTACATACATACCTACGTACATACCTACGTAGATACCTACGTACATACCTACATACATACATACATACATACATCCATACATGCATACATACCTAGGTTAGTGCTATTGGTTTTGAACCTGTCGTGAGTCACCTGACTCGGTTCTGAGTTGCGCAGGGAAGTATCGGTGAATACGCGCGCAAGACTGAAAACCACCAGTATGACCGTCTCCTGCGACGCAACCGTGTGAAATGCACCCTAAACCTAAAACCCTAAACCCTAAACCCCTCCCCGCACCCTAAATTTTGGAGCCGAAGCCCTAAGCCAGAAGCCTCAAATCCTACGCCCAAAGCTCTGGCCCACAAGGCTCAAGGGCTCTTCTGTTCATTACTTCCTCGCCTTTTTACTGCAACAAAAAGGGTCCCCTGCATAGTCAAGAAGGAGGATACTTTGCTGCACGGTTCGGGCTTTATGGCCTTTGTTGCTAAACCCTAAGCTCCACACTGCTGGGGCCCCTAGGTTCAGGAAGTGCAAAGCCAGCATCATTGCCCCAGCTGCTTAACGGCAATCGACTCCGAGGATTTTTAAGTATCCCAATGTCAATTGCTGATATAGAAGCCTGATTCTTCGAAATGTTTATCCCCTTGTAGTCCCCAAGAAACAGATCCAACTGCTAAATCCCCTATATGACATTCGGAGGTCTAGATCCCTAAACCCTAAACCCTAAACCCTTAGCCCTAAACTCTAAACCCTAAACCCTAAGGAAACCTCAACCCTAAACCCTAAACCTCCTTTCGAGTCTCGAGAACCTGGCCCTGGCCCCCCGGCTCTGAACTTGCGAGGAGCCGCGATCAACAGCAAGCGCGTCGCCCCGCCGCTGAATGTCCTCCAGTCCCACTGGGAAGAGGACCTAAAGCCAGCACCCGGAAGCTGACCGAGACTGTACTTGGAGGTTTTTTTTGGGTAGTTATAAGTGGGGTTATAAGTCCCATAATATGGGTTATAACTATAGTTCAACTACTTATAACCCTACTTAGAACTACCCATGAACCTCCAAGTAGGGCCGAAGCCTGCTTCAGAAGACTTGAGCTACACTCTTATAAGCCCTATATGCCCCAAGATGATAGCATGGGTTACGTGACGCAGGCTCCATCTTGGTTTCAGGCCTAGGATGCCATGCGTTGCAGGCTTGCAGACTGGGGGATTCTGGAAGAATCAAACATCTGAGCCTCGCGAATCGCTTCCGATGCATTTCTGATGTAAAGATCGTTTCATACCGCCCAAACCCCAAGTGGCCAGACTGCTCTCTTGCAGCAAAAAGAGAACCAAAGTGGCAGGAGGACGATGCGCCTGGAGGTGAGGAGGCTTGGAAAGCTTCATGCTGAAAGGCGCCAGGAGATTCTGAGCTGATGGTGCGATTGCAAACGGAGCCCACAAAGAAACCCGAAACCCTACGGCTCAAGCTGCTGCATCCCAAGCAAAGACAGCCGAACCAGCTTCTTCCCTTCGCCACAGTGGTTGACGCCATGACCGTGATCTTCAGTCTGGGTGTTCTGGTGCAAGTTGGCATGATGTGGAGTGAAGCCTCCGCCAGAGTCGACAAGGTGGACGTCGTGGCCGCCCTTCAAGACCCGGTTCAGCTCAATGGGGCCTATGCGATTGCAGTCGCGGGAGACTACGCCTACATTACAGCAGCTTCCGATGCTGCGATATCGGTGTTGAACATCGCGGACCCCACCAGCCCGACCCTGGCAGGGTCCATCAAGGACCTCACGATCTTGGACATTTCCAAAGGCATTGTGATCAGAGGGGACTACGGCGTGGGGTCATTTTGTGTCGGTCAACATTGCGGATCCTAGCAACATGACCATCGCGAGCTCAGTGCATGATAACTTTGTGAGGATAGCTGGACTTGATCAGGTTGTGCTCGATGGGAACTACGCCTATGTTGCTGCTGGTCGGGGTAACAGCCTGCTGGTGTTCGACATCACTGATCCGACCAATCTCACCGTCGCGTCAGTCGTCCACGACCCCACCATCCTTCAATCAGCCAATGGTATTGACATTGTCGGTGACCTTGCCTATGTGGCCACTAATGACCGCATGGCTGTGTTCAACATCTCCGACCCGAGCAGCCCCAGCCCTGTCGGCAACTTCGACGCCGGAGGTCAAATGGACGGAGCTTTCCGAGTCGCTGTGGTCGGGAACCACGCCTACGTGACCGCAAGTGCACGCCGTGCATTGGTGGTTCTGGACGTCACTGACCTGTCTAACATCACTGTCCACAGCGTTCTCTCGAATTTCACCGAGCTCAACCAACCCATGGGCCTCGAGATCGTAGGGAACTATGCTTACGTCTCCACGCTACATGGCGTTGTGACGGTTGACATCAGCAACCCAAGCAGCCCCGCCATCTTCGGCACTGTCCAAATTACCGACGATTTGTCAGAGTCGAGTACTTTCGCACATGGGACGGACATAACCTTGTCGGGAACCATGCCCTCGTGGCGTGCGATACGGACTCCATGCACGGTGGCATGGCCGTGATCGACATCAGCACCCCGAGCAACCTCAACGAAGTTAGCTTCTTCGGTGAGCACCCCCACAGCGTCCTCGAATATGCCTCCGGTGTCAAAGTCGATGGTGACTATGCCTTCGTGGTCGGCGGCGAGGAAGGATATCTTACTGTGATCGACGTCAGCAACCCGCACAATCCAAGCATCGTAAGCTCCATCTTTGACTCGAAGCTGGAATTTGCCGAGGGGCTTGCAATCGCTGGAGACTACGCCTACGTGGCTGCGAGCGAGTACGAAGGCCTGGTCGCGGTCCACATCGCCGACAAAGCCAACTTGACTATCGCAGGGTTTCTCCAAGACGACGACCTCTTCGGATATTGCATTGACGTGGCGATCGCCGGCAATTACGCCTTTGTGACTGCCTACTCCGAAGATGCCGTGACAGCGGTTGACATCAGCAACCCCAACAACCTGACAGTCGCCAGCCATTTCCAGGATGGCGACCTCGATGGCGCGGAGAACATCGTGATCGTCGGGAACTTCGCTTATGTGACGGCTTACCGCGAGGAGTCTCTAACCATTCTGAACATCACCGACCCGTACAACATGAATATAGCGGGCACCATCAGGGACGACAGACTTGACGGAGCAAGAGGCCTTGCGGTTGTCGGGGACTACGCCTATGTCGCTTGCAGTCGTGAGGACGGCTTCGCTGCGATCCACGTCGCCGACCCGAGCAACCTCACCATCGTAGGCCTGGTGCTTGCTAAGCAGCTGAATGCAAGTTGACTTGAGAGGGACATTTTGTAAAGTTTTCTTCCTTGCATCTCTGTGCAAGAGTACACAAAGTTGAGTTACTTAGCAACCCAGAGGCTACGTCGAGGACTCAACCCTCCTTGAATGGTCCTACGCAGTTGCGGTTGACGGGAACCATGCGTTCGTGACATCGAGGGGCCATCACTCCGTGACGATGATCGACATCAGCGACCCAAGCAACCTCAGCATCGTGGGCAATTGGCAGCACCCCGCGTTGCTTGATCCCTTTGGCATTGCGATCGCTGGTGCATATGCTTATGTGACCGGGTACGACTCTTTCTTGGTGTTCAGCATTGACACGACGACGACCACGACGGTGCTTACGAACACCATGACCACCGTGACTGTGACCACCACCGCCGCGAGCACCGTCACGGCGACAACGGGCGTCACTGCGTACATAAGCCATGCTTTGCACTGGAAGGCTTCCGCTTTTGCCTCCTTCGTTCTTTTCGCCTTGCAGTGCTAACTATAAGTTGGCCAAGTGTTGCAAGCCAGAACTGTACCTGCCCAAGCTGAGCGACAGGGTGTTCGGAATGGGTGTGCTTACTAGCAGCCGACTAGACTCTAGACTAGGCATGGCACGGCCGTGAGATGTGTTGATGCCGCTTCGCTTCAGACGGGCAGTGCCTTTCTTTTCTCGCCCATGTCCATTGACTACTGTAGCTTGGTGCCGCGAATGCCAAGCTGCCCCGCAAGGGCCTGCCTAGGATTTTGAGACCACAAGCGCGACAAGTGGCGAAGCTACCCGCTTGGCAATACCTGAGGATGGAGCAAAAAAGCTGCTGTGCTCGCTGTGGCTTGCGATGCGGCATGATATTATTGCGAGTATGAAGTTGATTATGATTATGGCTATGATTACGATTATGATCATGAGCATGAATCATGGAAAGTGTTATTATTCTTCGTGCTATAGCACTTTCGCTTAGCTTTTGTTTTTCATTTGTTGTCAATAGTGAGTATTAGCATCATGAATTGTACCTTCTTGTTTCGACTTCTACAATGATTCTCATTCCTGCTGTTATGATACTTTTTAGCCCACCACTTTGAACAACCTTCGCCTGCTAAGCCCTAGACCCCAAACCCCGTACTGACAGGAAGAAGAGCCGCACTCCGATGCGCCACTCCTTCCTGGCTGGGAACAGCATTGGTCCGAGGACACCGCGGTGTGTTTAGGGTTTGGGATTTCAGGTTTAGGGTTTACCGTTTCGACTTGAGGGTTCCGGGCTCGAACAATGAAACCCTAAACCCTGAACCCTAAATCCTAAACCAAAAACCCTAAACCCTGAACCCTGAATCCTAAACCAAAAACCCGAAGCCCTGACACAGTCCCTCGTGAAGCCTGGGCCCGATAAGCGTGCTAGTCGGGATCCTCTGCTAAACGCTAACGATAACTTGTACTTGTATCCCCTCTTCTAGCCCCTTTAAAGTCATAACGGTTTTACGATGAACATACCCAAAGACCGTGAACTTGGCATTGAATTCTCAAGCCCAGGATGTGATTCTACTTGGAGGTTCATGGGTAGTTATAAGTGGGGTTATAAGTCCCCTAATATGGGATATAATAAAAGTTACCCTACTTATAACCCTACTTATAACTACCCATGAACCTCCAGATATAACCCCTTATAGACCCCTTATCGGACCCCTTATAGAGCCTTTATCGCACCTAACTACCCATGACCTTCCAAGTAGAGGCCAGCTCTCGATGTCCAGGAGCACAGCTGTGTCTACTACTGGCACAAAGCCACGAAGCAGCCTGCGCCTTTCTGCATGCCTGACTCGGTTTAGGGTTTAGGGAAAGTTTGCATAGCTAAAATTTGGGGCTTAGGGCTGAGGGGTTTGGGGTCTTTAGGGATAAGGACTTAGGGCTCTTCCCACCTCATGCAACTTCTCCGGGCCAGCCCTCCTAAACAAGGGCTTAGGATCCGGGCTTTGGGGGATTAGGGTTTAGGATCTGGCATCTGAGGTTGAGGGCTTTTGCGACTTCAGGTTCTAGAGTTTTAGGATTGGGGTTTAGGGTTTAGGGTTTAGGGTTTAGTTTGTTTTTGTCAGCGCCATGCGCGCGTGTACGTTGCGCGCTTTGGCGCCTGCTCGGCCGGGTCTCGCAGGCTTTTGAGGAGCTTACGGAGTATTACATACTGTTCATTTTGCCCATAAAGCTGCTTAGCGGCGTAACTACGAGCGGTGTGGTCCCATATCCAGGTTTCCGGGAAGTGGCGTTGAGAGGTAACTTCAATCCAGTAGGGAAATTGCATTCCTTTTCTACGACCTTGAGCCTGTATTCTATCTTTCATGGGATGACAAAACACTATGTTGTGCATCTGGTCGTCGGAGGAGGAGCAAACAATGTTGGTTAGAGCTTTGATTCGTAAGGTTTGTAGGGTCGTGGAAGGGAGTTGTGGTCTGTGGGCTTGGTTCCAGACAGTCCAGTTACTGATCTTCGAAAAATAGGTTGCCTTGATGTTAAGAATCCTGCATAGAAACTTATGATACCATGCGTCGATCCTTTTGAGATTCTGGTCGGTAAGGGTCAGGGCGTCTAAGCCGTAACATAGTGTAGGGACGAAGGTGGTACGGAAGATATAGAGCTTATGTTTGCGGGACCTGTTGCTGTTCCAGACCAGCCTAAGTTTTTTATAGGATTCGTCGGCGAGGGCTGCTCTGTGTCTGAAGACTATATCAAAATGCTGATCCCATGCTATCATGCAGGGTTTAGGGTTTAGGGTTTAGGGTTTCGGGAGGTGGGAGAAAAGTTGAAGGTGTTGATTTGGCCGAGTGTGGGGTTCATGATACTTACAATGCAAGTTACAATCGGTGTGTTCTGGTAGTTATAAGTAGGGTTTTTGAGTAGGGTAACTTTAATTATAACCCATATCAGGGGACTTATAACCCCACTTAGAACTGCCCATGAACGTCCAAGTAAGTCATAGTCCCAATGGCAAAAACTAGTAAAGCGACTCCAAGCTCATGGTCATGGAACAAGCAACCTATTACTACTACGACGACTACTACTACTTCTACTTCTACTACTACTACTACTACTACTACTACTACTGCGACTACTGCGACTACTGCGACTACTGCGACTACTACTACGACTACTACTACGACTACTACTACGACTACTACTACGACTACTACTACTACTACTACTTCTGCTACTACTACCACTGCTACTACTACTACTACTACTACTACTACGACTAGTACTACTACTACTACTACTACTACTACTACTACTACTACTACTAGCTTGCTTCCATAAAATCCGAAAGCTCATGTCTGAAGCTTTAATCTTAAAAGCCCCCAAGCCCTTGAGAACCCGAAGACCCCAAAGCCCTGAACCCTAAACCCCATAAACCCTGAAGCCTTAAACCCGAAACCCAAAACCCTCAACCCTGAACCCTGGAGCCTAAAACCCTAAAGCCCCTAAGCCCTACAATCCTAAAACCCTAAACGCCCTAAGCCCTAAAAGCCCTAAAACCCTAAAACCCTAAACGTAAGATCCTAAGCTGTTTCGACCTCAGGTCTTCTTGGGAGAGGCCTGCGCTGCCCGTGCAGGGAGGCTCGCAGGGAACGTTTCCGGGCTTTGTCTTAGGTTTAGAACCTACCTATAGTCTCCATTGTAGTTCCTTTCTGGGGTTCCTTTATAGGATCCTAAACATAGAATTGTTTTAACCAAACAAGGGACTACAATGGAGACTATAGGTAAGCCCTAAACCCTAATCGGAGGGTTCGGGTCTTAGGGCTTTGTGGGTTGAAGGGTTTAAGGTTTGCGGGTCTTGAGGTTTAGACCCTACCTGGAGGTGCAGGAGGACATAAAAAAAGAGTCCGCTGAAAGAGGCTGGAAAAAACATCCTCGCTAAAAAAACATCCTCCTAGCACTCACAGGTAAACCCTACACCCTAATAGGAGGGTTCGGGTCTTAGGGCTTTGTGGGGTTTAAGGGTTTAGGGTTTGCGGGTCTTGAGGTTTAGGTGTAAGGGCTCAGTCTTTGGGCTTTATTTGGGTGTTTAGGGGTTCAGGGGTTTAGGGTCTTGGCGATTTTGGGGTCCTGACTTTAGTCTAGGACATTTTCAAGTGGGTAGTTGCCGTTATAGGAGCCTTATAGAAGGTCTATATACCTTATGGAAGTCTTATAGAAGCCCTATATACCCTATTGCTTAGACGGCTCCGTGTACAGTGTCCCTGGACTTGACGTCATCTTCCACCACTCCCCACCTGTAGTTAACCCTACACCCTAAACCCTAAACCCTAAACCCTAAACCCTAAACCCTAAACCCTAAACCCAATCCTTTAATTTCGTATGGTCTTCGGAGTCGTAGGGTCTTCGGCTCAGGATGTCCCTTGGCTGTACATGCAACTCACGGCCCGACCCTGTGAGACCCTACAGCCTAAGATCGGGGTTTAGGGTTTGGGGTTTAGGGTTTAGGGTTTAGGGTTTAGGGTTTAGGGTTTAGGGGGGGCCTAAAGTCCAATAAGATGTTGGGGCTCCTTCTGATAGATATAGTACGGTATAGCCCAACACTCTCTTTCAATTTTCTTAAACCTTAAACCCCCAAAGCAGTCCCAAAACCCCTTTTCAAAAAAATAAGCGGCTCTGCGCAGCCCACCCGGATGTGTCTCTCTTGATCTAGGACGTTTTCAGGTGGGTGGTTACCGTTATAGGAGCCTTATAGAAGGTCTGTAGACCTCATGGAAGCCTTATAGAACCCTAAACCCCAAAGCCCTAAAAGCCTTAAACTCCCCACCGGTAGTTCCCTTTAGTCTTACCAGTAACATGTTGGGGCTCCTTCTGATAAATGTAGTAAGGTATACCCCAACACTCTATTTCAATTTCCCTAAACCTCAAACCCCCAAAGCAGTCCCTAAACCCTAAACCCTAAACCCTGAACCCCTAAACCCTGAACCCTTGTAGAATAGGAAAGCCTAAAGCCCCGCTTCTTCAGGCGCAGAGCCCCAGGCCAGGAGCTCAACCCTGGCTTCACGGGTCCGAAGGTTTAGGGGTTTAGGGGTTTTAGGGTTTTTTTGTTGGGCTTTTAGGGTTTTAGGGTGTTGGAGCTTTGGGTTTTTAGGGTTTTAGAGCTTTGAGGGTTTTTAGGGTTTTTAGGGCTTTCGGGGTTTAGGGTGTTTGGGGTGTTTGGGGTTTTAGGGTTGCAGAGTTTAGGGTGTTTATGGTTTAGGGCTTTAGGGTTGCAGGGTTTAGGGTTTAGAAGTTTAGGGGTTTAGGGCTTTAGGGACTAAGGGTTTAGGGTTTAGGGCAGTTTAGGGTTCAGAGAGCCCATGTCTGGAACGGGGCTGATTGTCGAGGGATAGAGTGTAGAAACCAGCACAGAGCGCATCCTACGTTTTTACTTCGGGTTTCGGGAATGAGGTAGTCAGAAATTGCACAAGGCCCTAAATGGCAGAGCCGAGTGAGGACACTCTGAAAAAGGACTTTTCTTTCATCCGTCTTCTGCAGTACTT